TCAACACATATTACATTCCTTGAATATTTATATCAATGCAGAACAATTACCTATATTTATATATATATATATATATATATTTTTACTTCATATAATTCTACTATGATAATGATAAGTAAAAGCTCAAATAATTGAAAAAACAAAAAAAAAATGTACCAGATATTATTATTATTATTATTCTACATTTACAAACATGTTTACAATGATAAGTATTTAAAATTTGTTATTTTTTGGCAAACAAATTACTAATTATTTTTGTTTTGTCTTATAATTACTTAATGTATACAAAATAACTGCAATCACTATAAATTATATTTGGTGTGATAACCCTAACTTGGGCTTGTAACCGATAGCCTCAAGACCACCAACACCCACAACAAACCTTGAAATCTAATGTTATTTACTCTACTCTCTGTCTTATAAATCATATGGATGTATAAAGATAATAACAACACAAGCACTAATAATTTGACATCATTTCCTTCCAATAATACCTTAATACACATACCATTGATATCTATCGTTCATCATACTCAAAGTTCAAGAGAGACAATCTGGATTAAAATAAATTCTCTCTAAAACAAGAGTGCAAAAGATAGAGATACCCATATCTCCTTATATACAAAGCATGTTGTAATCTTTCTAACCTGTGGAAAGGATCAACTTAAGTTAACTGTCTCATTCCAGTAAGGTTAAGAACTTCTACTACACATATTGTGGTTTGTTATGCACGATATATGAAAGAAAAAGGATTTATCAAATTCAACCAATAAAAAAGATTGTGTACATATATACTAACAAATAAATAAAAAATAAAAGGGATCCGATTATTTTCATAATCTTCCATGAAATCTGGTCTTTAATTGCACAATCAAATCCTCCATCATTTCCAAACTTCAAATAATCAAGATGAGGAGGTGTCTCATAAAATTAACCCTTGAGCTAGTTGCTATATTCCCTGGATCGTATTCTTATAACCTCTCCCCACTTATGGAGAGTCCGAAGGAAAATATGCTAGCATAAGCACACAAAGTTCACATACATATGTACAATTTTATAAGCACTCTTTTCTTGTGCCCCATGAGACTATGACCTTAACGCTCTGCTGTTAGCAAATGGACATTTGGTTAAGTTTAAATTTCTTTAGTGTTAGCTAATTACAAAGACCACTTACCACATTGACATGCCTTACCTAGCTAGCATTATGGAAGAAATAAGCTTAAATCACAAACTGATACAACCCGGAAATCACAACGGCATCAGATACCCAACCCCAAGTACAGCAACCGTCTCCCATGACTCAATCAACAGTTGAAAAAAAATCAGTTACCCTGATGCCATGATCTCCATCAATCTGTAGGCAGTTTCCTTTATCCCTAAATTAATGTTTTTGCCCTGAATAGCAGGAGCAGTTTTGTATTTACAGTTATTTTATCTTCTATTTAAACATTCAAGTAGGAAGTCAATGTATGTCTTCGGTTATCAATGAAAATTGAGTTCCTTCTCACTCTAAGAGGAATTTTCTTGTTTTTTTTTTTTTTAATGCTGTTTTGATTGGGACCACATCATTGGTATCAGAGCAGGGAATGGCAACAAACAAAGAACGAATTAAAACCTTAAGAGGCCAGTGTTGGAGGGCTGCAAGACCGCTTCAGTCAGATGGAGAACGGAATGGCGAGCAAACTGCTGGCGATTGAGGATACTCTCCGATGCTTGACCGAATCGCTGAATCTAAATAAGGAAGCATCCATCAGCAACTCCACCGGGAGAAGCACTCCGGAATGGCCGAGTCGCGAAAGTGGCCCCGAGCGGAATGATGGGCCGCGACCCGTGTTCGGTGCCCGACTAGCTCACATCGATTTTTCCACGTACGATGGAACTGATCCTACGGAGTGGCTTAATCGAGTTGACCAATTTTTTTATTTTCAGGAAACACCGGAAGAGCATCGGGTGTCGCTGGCAGCTTTTCACATCGGGGGGGGGGGGGGGGGGGAAGCTAATCAATGGCGGCAGCGGCTGAAGAAAACACACAAGGAAGAAGGCAGGGAGCTGGGTTGGACCGAATTCGTGGATGAGCTTTGGGCTCGTTTTGGGCCAACAGAATGTGAAGATTTTGATGAAACCTTTTTCAGAGTGAAGCAGATCGGGCCTCTTTGAGAATATCATAAGGAATTTGAGCGCCTGGGTAACAGGGTTAGGAGTTGGAACCAAAAGGCTTTAGTGGGTACATTCATGGATGGGCTTCGGCCCGACATTGCTGATGGAATCAGGCTGTTTCGGCCCAAAACACTGAAAGAGGCCATCAACCTGGCCCAGATGAAAGAAGACCAACTAGACCGGCAAAAGCGGTCCAACCGAACAGGACAGTTCACTCCCATAGTGCAGCAGAAAACCCTAGCCGTCTCTTCTTCGGTCTCAGACGCTCCACCAGCCGCCACCATGAAACGGCTCTCTTGGAACGAAATGCAGGGGAGATGCGCACAAGATCTCTGCTTCAATTGTGAGGAGAAATTCGTTCCGGGCCACCGATGCCGTTGGCCACAACTATTGCTGCTAGAAAGCGGAGAAGAGGAAGAAGGGTCAGACGCACATGAGGAACCAGAAATCTCTTTACATGCCCTTGAAGGATGGCCACCCTCTCAAAGTATGAAGATCGTCGCCTCCATTCAACAACAGAGAGTAGTGGTGCTTGTGGACAGTGGGTCGACTCACAATTTCATTAGTGAGCGACTTGCGGGCATCACGAGGCTGCCGGGAGTACCGACCGAACCATTTATGGTACGAGTAGCAAACGGACGATCGATGCGATGCAGTGACCGATTCGAACGAGTTCCAGTCGAGATGCAAGGTATCATTTTCCATCTCACTCTCTATGCCCTTCCTTTGATCGTTTTGGACTTATTGTAGGAGTTCAGTGGCTGTCCGAGTTGGGCACCATAACCTGTGACTGGAGGGAGATGACGATGAGGTTCGTTTGGAACGGCCAGGAAGAGCAACTTCGTGGCCTGACTCAGCCGACCATCCAACCGGCTTCCAAAAAAGAAATAAGTAGAGAAGCATAGCAAAAACACACCTTGCTTGCCCTCTATACAGTGGCTGCACCCGAACATCAACCGTCCTCTATCAACTCTGAGATGCAGGGCTTGTTGAAAGACTATTCCGACTTATTCCAAGAGCCTAAGGGGTTACCACCCACTAGAAGCATTGAACACAGAATTACTCTCCGTGAGGGCACAGAACTGATCAACGTCCGTCCTTACCGGTATGCACACTTCAAAAAACTGAAATTGAAAAGCAAGTTAACAAAATGCTTGATTCTGAATTGATCAGACCCATCACCAGTTCATTTTTCTCTCCAGTACTACTAGTACGAGAAAAAGACGGGTCATGACGATTTTGTACATATTATAGAGCACTCAATTCTGCCATTGTGAAGGATCGGTTTCCCATTCCTACAGCAGATGATATGCTCGATGAGCTTCATAGAGCTAAATTCTTTACCAAGCTTGATTTAACTGTCGGGTATCACCAAGTCAGAGTTCATCCTTCAGATATATATGAAACAGCTTTCTGGACGCACAATGGGCATTATGAATATAGTCATGCCGTTGGGGTTGTGCAATGCCTCCTTCCACCTTCCAGGCCATCATGAGTTCTATTTTCTGATCTTACTTACGGAAGTTTGTGCTGGTAATTTTTTATGACATTCTAATTTACAGTAGCACTTGGATATTGCATATTGATCATGTCAAGCAGGCTCTAGACGTCTTGAGACAACATCGCTTCTTCATCAAATAGAAGAAATGTGTTTTTAGGCAACAGAAACTTGAGTATTTGGGGCACATTATTACTCCACAAGGAGTCAAAGTTGATCAAGCAAAAATCAAGGCAATGGAATCATGACCCCGACCAGCCAATATCTCTGAAATACGGAGATTTTTGGGACTTACTGGTTATTAGATAAAATTTGTCAGAAATTATGGGATGATAGCTCGACCACTGACCAACCTCCTAAAGAAGGGTCAATTTGGGTAGACAGAAGTGGCGGAATAAGCCTTTGAACAACTCAAACAAGCTCTCTCAACAACTCCTACATTGGCACTACTAGACTTCAACACCCCTTTCACAATAGAAACTGATGCTTCAGGTGATGGTATTGGGATTGTCCTCTCACAAAATGGGCAGCCAATAGCTTATATGAGTCGTGCTCTGGGAGTTTCTAAGCAAGCCTGGTCGACCTATGCCAAAGAGATGTTAGCAATCATTGTAGCCGTCAAATTATGGAGACCATATCTTTTGGGTCATAAGTTTTATATTCAAATAGATAAGAGGAGTCTAAAATATCTACTGGAACAACGATTCTCCACTCTTAAACAACATAAATGGGTTTTAAAATTATTTGGGTATGATTATGAGATTGTGTATAAGCCAGAGAAAGAGAATCGGCCATCGATGCACTTTCTCGGAGGGATGCCAACCCAACCCTCCATGCCTTCTCCATACCACAAGCTCAGTTATGGGATGATCTCCACTAATCCTTACGTGCAAAAGGTGGATAAATTAGTTATCGAGAATCCAGGTCAACCCTATAGCAAAAAGGGATCTTGGCTCTATTTTAAGCAATGAATTGTTATTTCTCCTCAATCTAATATAATGCAGCAACTGCTCCACGAATTTCATAACTCACCGAATGGGGGACACTTCGGCATCCACGGAACATTCAAATGGCTTGCCCAACAGTTTTTAGCCATCTATGCACAAGTCTATCTACGATTATGTCTCATCGTGTGACAAATGTCAAAAAGAAAAATCAGATACACTCACTCTACCTAGAAAATTGAATCATTATTTGTAATTGATATTATTTAATATTTTAATAATAAAATATATAAATTTTTTTAAAAAAATAAAATAAAATGAACTGCTCAATACCTCAACATATAAATAAATATATATCAGCTGCTAACCATGATAGAAACAAAAAACTAGGAATGAATGTATCAAGAATAAAGAGCACAAGATCGGCCTGCCATAAGTTGTTTATAATCGTAGAATTTGAAGACTTGAGTGATGTACGTTTTGATCTCAGCTTCCTCATTTTTAAACACATGACAAACAGCTTTCACATACTCATCTGGCAATTTGTTGTTCATCCGAATGTAAAAGTACAAGCTGCGTCCTAAATCTCTGCAAATAATGCTCAACCAGTTAATTTCCTCCGCCGTCTCTGCCTTCTCGCTCGGTGGCCGTGCTGTAACCGGTGCCGGGATGTTCTTAATACACTGCTCGTACGATATTAATGCATGGCAACAACCCAGCATCCATGTCAGTAAAATCAGAGCCAACATGTTTGATGATGCTGATGCCATTGTCAAGTATTGTTCAAGACACAAGTTTAATTGCCATACCTCACATATCACACACACATATATATATATATATATATATATATAACGTATATTTATTTCGTGTATAAATTATGTTATGCGTTAATTCAGTCATTTCAGTTTTTAATATAAATATTAATTCACATTTTTAACAACAGTATTATTAATTTAAATTAATTACTTGAAATTAAGATTTTACAATTTAATGAAGGTATTCAGAATATTCATTTTTAATATAGTCGGTGCGTTAAAATAATATTTAATTTGCATGATAATTTTTTTATTTTTATTTTTTACTTAACTGAAAAATTTAATTTTCAATTTATAATATTTGAACTCAAATTTCTCTTATTATTATGAGTCAGGAAGAATGATTTCTAAACTAAATACTAGAATTGATATATATTAAATATGTTTGACATATGTATGTGTGTGTGTATATATATATATATATATATATATATATGAAAATCGACTTACTATTTAACTAACAATATCAAAATTATTGCTGTACACATTTTTAATTTATAAATGTTGTATAGTTGTTTGTCAATGGATCAACACGTTTCATTGTTAGTGGGCACTAATCAAAGACCAAACATGACATGATTCCACCATACCACATGTTAGTAAAGAAAGACTGTAGCAAAAGAGACACCTGTTGTTTTAAAAATGATTAGTTAATTAATGTAATTATTTTCTTTAATCAATTTTGATTTAATTTAATTTAATTTTCCTCTTCTATTTAATTCTATGTTTGTCACATGTCACGGATATTATGAATGCTTGACGCAATGAGACTATTAAGATGTGTGTGGTCCAGCCCAATCAACTTAAAACTATACAGATATGATGATTCGTAGGACCCACCATTTTCAACAAACCAGATTAGCCCCTCAATCATAAACCTACCACGTGTCAGTATTCAAATCAAACGCCGTACCTTCATACATTATAATTATATAATAATAATAACACATGATGATGATGGTGATGATATATATCAAATATCACCCCTCCGACTTCCTCTTCGTGAGAACCAGAACATGTCTTCCCATAATCTATCTGCACTTTGTGTTCGCACTCTAAAATGTCGTTACAGTATCAGCTGCCTGGCAGTCCACAATAACTTACTATACGCTGCATCCATCAATGAAATCAACGTCTACGATTTATCCAATTACACCCAGGTAGATGTCTTCAACGGTGACTATTCCACTTCTGGGTTTGTCAAGTCAATAGTCTTCAAAGGTATAAACATCTTTACCGCTCATCAAGACTGCAAGATTAGGATCTGGAAAATAACACCCAACAAGCAACACAAGCTCGTCTCCACATTACCCACCGTTAAAGACCGTTTTCTCCGTTTCATGTTGCCAAACAACTATATTACCATTAGGCGTCACAAGAAGCGGCTTTGGATCGAGCACTGCGACACCGTTTCGAGTTTAGTGGTTAACGGTGGGTTAGTGTATTCAGTTTCATGGGACAAGAGCTTGAAGATATGGAACCGCAAGAATCATCGGTGTTTACAGTCTGTGAAAGCACATGAAGATGCTATAAACACGATGGTGGTGTCGGAGAAAGGAACAGTTTATACAGGTTCTGCTGATGGGCGTATCAGGATTTGGGAGAGAGATGATAAGGAGAAGCGTCACAGCTTGGTGGCCACCCTGGAGATGCACAAATCCACCGTTAATGCACTTGCAATCAATGGTTACGGATCTGTGTTGTTTTCCGGTGGTTGTGAGGGTTCGATCTTGGTTTGGGAGAAGGAAGATAGTGAGCGTCGCATGGGATTGGTGGAGGCGTTGTGGGGTCATACTGGGGCCATATTGTGTATGATCAACGTACGGGAATTGTTGGTGAGTGGATCATCGGATCAGACGGTGAGGGTGTGGCGACGTGGGAAGGAGGGTGGGTACAGCTGTCGGGTAGTATTACCGGGGCATGCAACTGCAGTGAAGTCGGTGGTTGCCGTGTCAAGAAACGGTGTCGCTTCAGTTTGTAGTGGAAGCGTTGACGGAGTTGTTAAAGTGTGGGAGATCTCTACTCCAAATACTAGCTCTTTTTAACACAAAACGGTGTCGTTATTCTGAGGTGATTTTTCTCTTTTTTTTTTTTTATTTTTACATAAAGAACATCATATTCAAAATGAAAAGCTAATGTAATTATTTAAATTAAATTAAATAGAAAAAGGGTTGAAATGATTATCATCATGTCTGGGTCATTTGCACCACCACCTGAAAAATGTGGTGACCTAATTATTAATTAGTTTATTAGAATAAAAAAGAATATTGCGGTGTTACGATTTTGTTATATTATATTATGTAACCAAAAGAGTGAAAAGTGCAGTTAAATCTTAAATTAATTATATATAAATTAATAATCACTTTTCCCCTTCAGGTTTCACATGGGTGCTTTGAGATTATCATTATTATTAATTTAATTTATAAACTGCTTTTCTAATGAGATATAATTACGGACCCAATACAGTAAAAATAAAATTCTTATGCAACGTATTTAACATAAGATTATGCTTAATCTAATATTATATTTGGAAGAGGCATGTGAGAGGGAGATGACAAAGTGAGTGGATAAGGATTTCAAGAAAACCAGCAACCAATGTCATTTCCAGCGTATGATATATAATTAGTATTAACACAATTCTCAATGATTTGGTAATACTGCTGATAATGATGATTATCATTTGTTTTCAACCAAATGTTCCTTCTCAATTAAAAAAAAATATATATATATATATAAAATAATAATAAATAATTGTTAAATTATACTACAATTTTACTAAAATATTTTTTATTTAAAATTTTCTCTCAACTTATTTTTCTAAAAGTTGAGAAATTTTTTTTAACAAAAGAATACTTTCAATAAAAATTTTGAATAGTTTAAAAATATTATAATATGATAATTTATATAAAATTTACTAAAAGGTATATTTTTTGTTTTTTTTTTGTTTTTTTGGTTCTGAGTTGTGGGTTTGCTCGAATTCACTTTAGTTCTTGAACCGAATCTTTAAAGTTAAGAAACAATGTTTAGAAGAAAATTAGGTCAGGTGGTAGGATTCAGAAAATTTTGAAAAAGTTATATAATAATATAAATACTATTTTCATATAAATAAAAATTATATATTTCTAATAGAAATACAAATGAATTTTGTTTTAAATGTAATAAAATCATATGATGCTTATTGATTGAAGTAGATCAAAAAAATTGATTACCTACTCTATCTTTCATCCTTCAATTAAATTTCATCAGTAAAATTAAATTATAATATCATTATCTAGAATAAGATAATATATTTACTCAAAAAAATAACTGCAAAAGTTTCATACATTACCCGCGCTGTAATCCTCCATGAACGCTGAATCGACCTCTATATAGTCCTCCAGGTGCAGACCTTGATGGAGCCAGTTGTTTACTTCTTCCCTGATAACCAGTTTTGGTTGAGAGCGATAAAAGTCATCGAGGAGTTTTGTGAGCACCTGCAAACTCTAGGTAGTAAAAAAAAAAATATATATATATACATGGACCGATATTTATATAGTAGGTTAACTAATAAGTTGGACTGGCTTTTCCTCCCTGAGTTTCCTTCTAGGCATCCGAGTTTTGCTAATGCGGCCCATCTACCAGTCTCTGGGTTGTCTATGGATCAGGGGCACACTTTCGTGGTACATAAGGCCCTCTGTTTCAGTTTTTTTTACTGAGCTATAGAGGCTTTACCAGCAGATCTAAAGACCAGAGTTAGACCATTATCTAAATTTTTGTATCTTGTGCAATAGACTAGTGAACTACTGAATACTGATACTTGCCTATTGTTAATTTGCGATGGACGAAGAAACCACATTTGATCCTGTAAGAACCCTTGATTTACTTTCGTTTTTTCCTTTTCTTAATTGTCAACTAATATGGATGCGTTTTAAGATTCTTCCTCCTGCTATCAGCCTGAATTTTGTTTTGCGGATTTTAGGATCTGATTCATGCCATTTTCAAGCACGTATGGAGCCGAAGAGCTCACGGTCTGCAATTCCTCTATCTTCTCATTCCATTTGCTTGGTAAAATTTATCCCCATTTATTTTTTACTTCATTTTTCTTGTTTCAATTTTCATCATCCATTTCAGAGCGTGAGAGAAACGAAGCAACTGGCATCATAGACTGCGAGGTATTTTCCTGTTTCATCTTTTAATCTGTTTATTCTTTTCTATTCAGTTTCTATTAGGTGCTTAATATTCATGTCTAAAAGCACAGATGTTTCGTCTAGGTCGATGAAATATTACGGTTTAAGGGTGTGTTTGGAATACATGAGTTTCACTAAAATTATGGAATTGGCACGATGCAGATATACTGCTGAGAGCATGATTTTTGCAAATTCGTCAATCTATCTCCTTTCAATCCATTAGTTTTTCTTACACTATGTTTTAGTAAAGCAGAGCAGTATAGAAAAATGTAAAATAAAGAAAAAAAAAGTGATTTTTAAAAGAAAAGAGAGAAAAGATTACAAAAGTAAAGGAAAGATTGTACTATTTTTTTATTTGGCTTAGTTTTATGAAGAAGAAATGAAAAACCAAATGAAAGAAAAAGAAAAAGAAATAATGAGCATCATTCGCCGCCTTTTTGTTTCCCCTTATTTTCTCTATCCAAACATATTGTTAAGGTTCTGTTTGAAGGAGCAGGAGTGGATGGGTGGATAGCTTAATGCATATATTTGTTGTTTAGTGGACTTTTTTTGTCATCTTCTTGAATTTGAAACTCTCCATGCATACCGATAAGAGTTGCTGTGCCTGTCAAAGTAACATGGTTCAGACCCTCATGTTGCTTGGATTGATTGTATGCTTTCAGTGCTTCTGAGTTTTCACAAGATCTACATCAGTTACATGTATTGCCAACAGTCTCGTCTTTCTTTTTAACTTTTGAATATTTAGATTGGTGATGGCTTATCCGTTATTTTTCTCTAAATGTCACTTAAGAAGCATATTAGGAAACCAATTCATCATCCTGTGTTGGTTTTCCTAGAATTTTTTCTTTTCTTTTTTTATGGAAGAATTCTGTAGACTCATCTGCTTTGGTTGCTATGGACCATATGATTATCTTCTCTCGTGCTTAATTTGAATTATAAGTTGTTATTTTCATCTTTTACGTGCATATTTCTATCTGATTTGCTTTTTATGGTGCAGGTGGGAGCTGGAACATCCAAGAAAAATCGCCCTACTTCTGGTATATTATTCAAATCTTTCATTTCTATGACGTGGGTTTGTTGTCTCTCATGCCGCTGTCAAGTGAGACCTATCTAATTGCTATTTCTCTACTATCTACCAATGCAGCTAACATAAATGCGCTGAAGCTCAGTTGTGAGCTTCTCAGAGTTTACATCATAGGTTTACCCATTTGAACTCAAACTTTTGTGACAGACATCGGAGATTTGGTTGCTTATGATATACCTCATAACATTCTGATGAAGGCCTTTGTATTGATACAGAGGCTGTGCAGAGGGCTTCTTCAATTGCTGAAGCAGAGGGTCTCACTAAGCTTGAAGCAACTCATTTAGAGAGAATTCTTCCGCAGTTACTTCTGGATTTTTAAAGGACTTGAAGGGAAAAAAATACACAAATTTTCAGCTTTGAGCTGGTCAGGTTTCTTCCTGCTGCTTTTCAATCTCCTCGAACCATGGAAGTTCTTAAAGAAGTGACTGCAAAGAAATGGAGTTTAGTGAGAAAACATAGCTTCTGTAATTTGTTTGTTCTCTTGTACAGAGATGAACCAATTTGGTGCAGAATTTCTCCATCTACATTTTAATAATTCCACATAAGCGATCATGGTTTAACTTGTTTGGACTTTTCCAGTTTTTGAGTCATTGCCACATTGAGTTCGCATAGCATTGATCTGAGTCAAGTTGGATATCTGAGTATTTGAGTTTGATTTTCTTGAACCCTGTGAAGCTCAAATCCTTTTTGAACTAGATTCGAATATATTTTTAGGTTTGAACTAGAATCGGGTTCATTTAAGCAAAGCAATTTTTTTTTAAAGCTAAGATTTAGAGCTATGTATATGGGGGTATTTGATTTTTGATTAGGAATTAGATTCATACTTCTTCAACTTTCTGATTTTGTAAGTCTCTAATTAAATATCCCAGATGTATGCAGGAGGAACTTGTGTTTTGCTATCTGCTAGATGGAAAGGCATGATTTTATATCAAATCAATTCGTACAAGCCACTCTTGTTGTGAATTGCTATCGGTGGATATGAAGTTGAGACCGGATCATAGATCTCTGGTGTTTGAGATAAGCTAGTTTCTCCCTCATGATGGATGGACTCATTATTTCTTCCCTGCTCACTATTGAGAATTGGTGAAGTTCACTTTTTGAGTCAAATCTCAATATCTGAAAAAGGGGCTTGGGTAGTTGGAAAAAAAGAAAAACCAAGTGGGGAGCTGATTAAAAGTAATCGGAAGCTTATTGGTAGATGTCCAGAGAAAGATTCACGTGACTGACCTTGCACTTCAGTCCTTGGCTGTTTTTCTAATACGAGCCAAACAAGTGCCTTGACAAATGGGGTACTCATTATAAGTCACCAGCTTTTCGTTGACCATCATACAGCCCGCAAAGAAGACTTGTCCAAGAGGGTGATACTTTGTTGTATAAACAAGCCTAACCCCTGATTCTTTGTTATCTTTAAAAATAGAAAGTTTCACACTTTGCAAAAGGGGAATTATTATAATGTTTAAGAGTTTATATTGTCGCTGGGCCTGAACAAGGAAGATGTTAGGCAAATAAGTTTCTAGTGTTAAGACTAGATTATAATTGATAGATAACAGACATAACTGGACCATACCATAACATAACATACAATTATTTCTTTTGCATAAATGATATTTTACACATTCAGTTGATATTTGATTTAGACAAATTAAGAGAAAAGGAAAAACAAAGAGAAAGAGAGAGAGAGAGAGAGAGAGAGAGTTAATGCTTGATTTGAGACAACATGCAGCCAACATCTCTACTGTTAGGCCTCTGTTTTGGGTCATCCAAGGTGCAGAAGCAAGCAATCTTGAGAACTAATAGCATCTGCTCCTCAAACCCATTACCCAACAGCTTGGGATCAATAGCTCTGGTTGGATCCTCTGATGTCATGACATTCCTCATCCATTTCACCAAACTCAACTCGTTAGTGTGCTGGAAAAACTCATCAGATGGTTGCTTACCAATCACCAAAACCCCTAGCAAAACCCCAAAGCTGTATATGTCACACTTGTCTGTGAATTTCAGAGTTTGATGATACTCTGGGGCTATGTATCCCACAGTTCCAGCTACATTTGAGGTTGTGATATGTGTATTGGCATCTGGTATTGGTTTTGCTAGTCCAAAATCTGCTATCCGAGCTTCTAAATCATCATCAAGCAGTACATTTGCTGGCTTCAAATCTCTGTGAATGATTCTTGGACTATGGCTCATGTGAAGATATTCTAACCCAGCAGCTATTCCTAATGCAATCTTGTGTCTACAAAGCCAATCCAACTCTCGATTTCCCTCTGAAACCCCGTTCAATACATCCTGTAAACTCCCGTTCTTCATGTGCTCATACACAAGATAATGGCAATCAGACCGAGACAGATGAGCCAACAGAGGAACAAGATTTCTATGCCGAATTTTACCAACTGTGTTAATTTCTGAACGGATTTGTCTCATTTTCTTGTTCAGGAACTTGGTATCTTCCTCACTCAACTCCGCCGCATCTTTTGGCGGCTGAACAATCTTCTTGATGGCAATCATCTTGCCGTTGCTGCCTGGTAGCTCAGCCTTGTAAACTTCTCCACATCCACCTCTTCCAATGATCTCCAGTGATGCCAGTCCGTCTTCTTTATCCAAGAAAGCTAAGTCCTCTTTCTTGATCAATGAACTAAAGATTGCTATTCCAGGCTCCTTGCCCCCACCTCTTACGGCTGCTATGATCAGTTTAAACAGCACTGAGAAAACGAACCCAGATACAGTCCCAGCTATAGCTCCGGCGAAGAATCCTAAAATCCATGCTGCAAGCTTCTTTTTCTTACTTTTTTTGTGTTTGTTAACTGCTGCTGTTGGAGCTTCAGCAGGAGATGCTTCAGCACGAGAAGAAGAAGAAGAAGAAGAAGAATTGGTTTTTCTCCTCGGTGTAGGACTCTCCGCAAAAATGTATCGTCTCGGATAATTAGACGATGAGGACTCAAGTGTGCTCGTCAAAGGAACGGAAGCCTCAAGAAAAGTGTTTCCCGAAAAGTCGAAGAACTGAAGATTACGAAAAGACCGTATTGAAGGTGGGATTTTCCCGGAAAACAGATTGTTGGCCAGGGAGAGCTTTTCGAGGTTGGGAAAATACTTCAAGAAGTTCAGGTTTCCGGAAAACCCATTGGAGGAAAGATCAAGAATTCGAAGACGGGTCAAAGATGACAAGTCCGAGGAGATTTCACCGGAGAAATTGTTATTTTTGAGATCAAGAATTTCGAGCTTCTTGCAGTCAACAATCTGGGGAGGGAGTTGGTCAACAAGCTGGTTGTTTGGAAGAGCGAGCTCCCTGAGCTCCGAGAGGCGGCCGATCGCCGGGGAGATGAATCCAGCAAGGGCGTAACTTGGGAAGACGAGTCTGGTGACCCTGAGGACGTAAGTGTTGTCGGGGGAGAGTCTCCGCTCGCAGAATACGCCAGCTATACTGCATGGGTTAGTGGAGGGGAGGCGTTGACTGAGAACACCCAATTCCTTTTGGACAATGGAAATGGCCTGGAAATCAGAAGGGTGGAGATGAAGAGTGCCATGGACGAGCAGGAAGAAGGAGATAAAAGCAAAGAGCGAGAGAATGCCCAGGACCAGGGCCGGTGCCATTTTGTTGAATGGCAGATCCCGGTGGTGCGATTAGTTGATTTATGAAATCTGAGGTGGAGTATTTTTGAGAATGAGATTTGTAGAGGCAGCCATGATAACCGCGTTGAAAAACATGCTGGGTGGGATCCTGCCCATTTAATTTTCTGGTTTTGTCAAATTTGATAATAAAAATCTTTTATAGATTTTTGTTTTCGTCCTTTTTGTTGACTAGAAAATAATTTCGGAATGGGAAAATACTTTATATTTAAAGAAAATATAAAAAGTCTATAATAGATTATTATAATTATTTTCTTCTTCTGTCGTGTTATTGGTGTAAATACAATTTTCTCAATTTCTTTGCTTTTAAGAGTGTTAGAGAAGTATAATATGGAACAATTGTTAGGTTATGGAATAATTCTAAAAATCACTCTGAAGATCTCGAAAATACATAAAATATTTTATGATATATTTTTATAGTAATTAATTCTTAATATATTTGATGTCAACAAATAGATTAAGAAAATATAATCGTCTCTCACTCAAATAAAAAAAAAAAGGGAAGGGCAAATCCAATTGAAAACAAATAAAAAAAAATAGTAATAAACAATTACTAACACCCAAATATTTCTTTTTAATTTTTTTTATTATTTTATTTTATTTTAATATGTTCTATATAAATATAATTAAGTGTTAATAAAAATTAATTTAATTTAATAGAAGTAATAATAATAATAATAATAAAAATAGATAAAAAAAATTATTTAGGGATTTAATTAAAAATAATTTTGGAAAAAATGGGTGAAAATTTGAGTTTTTGAGGTATTTTTGAAAGAAAAATCAGAAACCGGGGGTCAAAACGCAATTTAAAAAAAATATGCCACGTCAGCAGCCCCGGCCAACCAGGATGCGCCAGATGGCAGAGATGCTGACGCGGGAGGGAGTCACGTGGGTGATCCGCGTGCTCGCGATCGAACGGCTGAGATCCATTCCTGCGCGCGCGGACGACCTAGATCAAAAACGCGCACGGACAGCCCAGATTGCATCGCGTACGGACGGTCCAGATTGAATCACGCACGGACGATCCAGATTGAATCGTGATAAAAGGTCTAGATTCATTTCCTATTTAATTGCGATCGGACGGTCTAGATTAAAAGCAATGGATGACTCAGATCAAAAGCGGATGTGTATAAATAACCTCATCCGCACCCATACCCTAACCCTAGCCGCCAGAACCCCTCGCCGGAGAAGACAGCCCAGCCGCCGGGGAGCCGACCGCCGCCACCCGCCGCCATACCGGAGCAATTTCTGCTTGCCAAACGAGGTAAAAATTCTACCATTTGCTCATAATTTGACTCTAAACCCACATATGGCCAAATTGGAGCGAAAGTACTGGCCAATTGGCCGGAAAATACTATCGAAGCTTAGCGGCGCCGCTGCGGGGTGTCTCGATTTTTGCCTCCGATGAGCCCCTTTCCGATTTCCGTTCAATGTGATTTTTCCACCGTTGTGATCACCGTTTCCTCATCTACAGGTTGGCTGGAGCAAAACACCCAACCGCGACATGAGTCGGAGGAGCCGCCGTACCGGAGAGCCCACCGCCGGTAAGTTTCGGTTTTTCACGTTTTTTCGGCCCACCGAGGGCCCTAGGTGTGTTTTCTCACAGGAATCGATGCAAGTTTGGTTGAATTTGGCTGAAAACTGCTGAAAACAGCCAACCCGAGGCAGATTGCCGCCGCGGGCGGCAGTGCTGTTGTCGGAGCACGGCGAAGCCGCCGTGCCGGAATTTTGAAATTGGCCGAGTAGGCCCTGTGTCTGATTTTTGGGTTATTTGGGACATGTGTAGGTACCGTAAGCGCATTTCAGTTCCCGAGAAAATATTCAGGGAATCTAGGGACCACTCGTAGGCGTAGTGAAAATCTAGTTTTCGACGTCAAATCAAATAAGGACCCCTCACCCTATTTCCTATCATGGAATTAAAGTTTGAATAAATGATAATATTGTATTTTGTACAAATTAAATAGATATGCATAATTAATTAGGTTGCTAATAGAGCCCGAACCGAATACATTTCTCTGTTGATTCTTGTTTGATTTATGTCACAGTTTAAATACATTATGGTATCTGGTTTATCTATTCTATGGTTTTAAATGCATGTGTCATTGCTTACTTCATTACTATTTGATTTTGGGAATCTAAGATATGCTTGCTTTGTTAGATGCACGTTACTTGTTTTATGTATTTATGTTTGTGTTGGTAACGGAGACTAAGGACAAATAGGAATGGGATGTGATTTGATAAATGGATAAGATGACAGCTTCACTAGATATCCTGGGAGATGGTGGACGGACCGAGTTCATAGGAAACTCTACCGTGAATGTTGTCTCATACCGGACGGGGTATGGTGACTTAGTCATTTGGCACTCATACCGGACGGGGTATGGGGAAGGCTCGTTTCACCCTCATACCGGACGAGGTATTGAGATTTATTATTTTGGCGCTCATACCGGACAAGATATGGGGACGACCCTGTAATTAAGATTGTTAAGGAGAACGGTTCACGTGTAGCGGGGACCCCTATGGATCCCCATGGATACTACTAGGCTGGTAAAAACGAGAAACGGTGATAATCAGTTATTGTTAATGAATACGGATTTATGATGTGTTACTGATTATGCATGAAATTGTGATATGTATGATGTTATTGTCTTTATAGGTTGTTTTCACAGGTTCTCCAAGGGTAAGAAAAAGGGTAAGTGGTTTTATTTTAAATAATTGTATTGGTTTAAAATTTGTGCTCCATTAGTTGTTTTCGATTTTCTACCAACCTTTAATTTTGTGACGGTGATATAGTGTGATGTCCTTACTGGGCTAGTGTAGCTCATTCCTTATTTAACCATTTCGGATCAGGAGGACCTGGTTCCCGATCCTGATCCACAAGAAGATGATGAGTAGATGCTAGATATTTTATAGTTTCTTTTATTTTTCTTATTTCTCGTATTTCTTTTAGAAAACTTATTCCATGATATTGTTTAGTACTTTTAAGTTATTGTGTAAGGGATATTAACCTTAATCTTTTATTTCGTTTCCGCACTCAGATTATTATATGTATTTTCTTTTGAAATTTCGGGGTTGTTACAGTTGGTATCAGAGCCGCGTTCCTCGGACTCGTTCCTTACACAATGATACTTATAAAAACACCAAACCAATGAATTATTACTTAACCCTTCATTGTGAAATGCAGGTACAGAGAGATGAGAAGAGGGAGACCCCCACTAAACCGAGTAGTCCGGGATGGTTCGCTGCGGAAAGACGTTGACAGGATATTTGAGATGCTGGAGAGACTCATTACTGCCCAACAGGGTCGAGAGGAGAGAAGGGAGTTACCCGACCCTCCCCCGCTGCCACAGGTTGAGCTACCACTGCAGTGAGAGGACCTGGTGCCACTGCCGCAATATAATCCGGTGCCCCAGCCACAGTACTGCCCGGCACCGTCACAGTATAATTCAGTGCCCCCACCATATCAGCAAGTACCATCACAGGGCCCCCCAGTCTATCCTCAGCCTAGCTCAGTCCATTTTTCGTGGGACCCAACTCCTTCCATGATTGACCCAGACTATGTAGAAAGGTACAGGAGACTGAACCCATATACTTTTACAGGGGGAATCCTCTTTTGAAGATGCCCAGTATTGGTTGGCGGAGACGGAGAAGGCCTTTAAGACCCTAGGAGTGACTCCCGAGTAGAGGGTCACCCTTGCTACCAACATGCTGATGGGAGAAGTAGACCGCTGGTGGGAACTCAAATAGACCACCTTGTCTGTTCTAGTTACTTGGGAACAGTTCTTAGCAGCCTTTCATGCAGAGTACCTCCTAGAGCACATCCGACATTTGAATGAGATGGAGTTTGTCCAGTTGGTCCAGGGGAACATGACGGTGTCAGAATATGCTCGTAAGTTCCTGGAGTTGGGCCGATATTCCCCTAAGACGCTGATGGATGAGGGCAGAAAGGCTAGGAGGTTCATTGGGGCCTTCACCCAGAGATCAAGCAGTATTTATTTGTACTGGAGCTCAAGACTTACTCGGCCGTTCTGGCAAAGGCACAGTTAGTGGAGAGGAGCCTCCACACCCTCCCTCAGTCAGTAGGGAACCACAGACCCTTAGCTCCACCCCGCAGACCAGCACCTACTGCGCCTGTCCAACAGAACAAGAGGCCCAGATCGATGATCCAGGCTGCCTCTTAGGCTCCAGTGGGAGGACGTGGTAAGATCTGTCAGCATTGCGGCAGGGATCACGGGAACTGACCATGTTACCGCCTCAACAACACCTGTCACATATGTGGTAGTGCCCAACACTATGTAAGAGAGTGCCCAAGGAACCAGAATCAGGGAAGACCTCCTATCTAGGGCAGAGCTTACAATCTCACCTAACAGGATGCCGAAGTCGACCCGGATGTGGTACAGGGTATGCACACTATCTGTAATCATCTTGCTCATGTTTTGTTTGACACTGGTGCATCACATTCATTTGTTTCACCTGTTTTTGCATCCAAATTTAATGTATTACCTGATAAACTTGATTCAATGTTATTTGTGTCTACTGTTGGGAGTGTAACACTATTGGAAAAAGTTATTTACAGGGCTTGTGCCATGGAGATAGCAAATAAGAAACTAAGTGTAGACCTAATAGAATTAGACACGGGGGATTTTGATGTAATTTTAGGGATGAATTGGCTAGCAGCGTATCACGCCACCGTAGATTGCTTTAGCAAGAAGGTTGTATTTAATCCTCTAAATGAGGAGCCATTTATAAATTAATAAAATCATTTAGTACTTATTCCTTGATGGCAAGTTTTCTTATTTTTCGAGTATCTTAACCTTGCTATTTTCTCTAACTAGGCAAACCCAAGAAAAAGAATTGTATTTAAGAGATTCTGGTAGTTTGAGACTTTCCAGATGTGTTTCCGGATGAACTACCCGGACTGCCAGTGGATAGGAAAGTCGAGTTCACTATAGATCTACAGCCAGGCACCCAGCCTATTTCAGTTGCTCCTTACCGCATGAGCCGTGTTGAGATGGAGGAGTTGAGGAAACAGATCACTGAATTGTAAGACAGTGGTTTTATCAGACATCGTGTGTCCCCTTGGGGTGCTGGAGTCACTT